ATTCTGGACTCCTGTCATGACAATAATATCGAATCATATATTCCTTTTAAACAGTTCTGTCCCTCATCTGTTTCAATGCAGTATACATCATTCCTCCCCTCCTTCTCTGCCTTCCCTCAACCCTGATGACAGCCCCATTTTATAGCAGTGGCCCTATGCAATATTTGTCCTTTTGTGACTGAGATACTTCACTCAGCATAATGTCCTCCAGGGTCATCCATTTTGCATATTTCATGAGTTCTTTGTTTTTCAATGCTGCAACTTATTCTATTCTGTCAATATACCAGAGCTTCTCTATCCATTTGTTTATTGATGGACACTTGGTTTGTTTCCAGGTCTTTGCTATTGAGAACAAAGCCGCAATAAATATGGGTGTGCATATATTTGCTTGGGTGGCAGTTATGGTCTCTTTAGGGTAAATTCCCGGTAGTGGAATTGCTGGGTCAAATGGTATTTCTATTTGCAACTTTTTGAGAAAGCGGCATACAGCCTTCCATAGTGGTTGCACCATTTTACACTCCCACCAACAGTGAATAAGGGTTCCAGTTTCTCCACAACCTTGCCAGCATTTGTTTATTGTTGTTACGTTAAATTTTGCTATTCTTACTGGGGTGAGGACTGCAGCCTTCAATATGGATTGAGGGTCAGTGTCAAGAAGACTGGGTCAATTAGCAGCCTCAGGATGGATGGTGAAGAGATTGAGATTGTTCACAACTTTAGTTTGCTTGGCTCCAGAGTCAACACTCTTGGCACCAGCAGCCAGGAAATTAATAGATGTATTTCAATGGGAAAGTCTGCTGTTAGGGACCTACCTCTCCAAATTATTGAAGAGCATTGGTGTCTCTCTGGAGATGAAAGTGCATCAGATACAGGCCATGGTCTTTGCAATCACTTGTTATGCTTCAGAGAGTTGGACAATGACTAGGGAGGGTAGAAGTAGAATTGATGCCTTTGAGCTGTGGTGCTGGAGAAGAGTATTGAATATACCGTGGAATGATAAGAAAACAAACAGGTTTGTCCTGGAGAGGATTAAACCAGGCTGCTTCTTGGAGGCAAGGATTCTGAAGCTTCGTCTGACATACTTTGGGCATGTTACAAGGAGGGAACGGTTGTTGGAGAGGGACGTCATGCTTGGGAGGGTAGAGGGACAGTGCTAAAGAGGAAGACCCTCTATGAGGTAGATTGATTCAGTGACTGGGGTAATCGGGGTGGGTGTGTTGGAGTAGGTATAATTGGCACCGGATAGAGCAGGGTTTAGAGATGTTGTACATAGGGTT